CATCATATATATATATAAAAATTATTAAATTTTCTCAAACTTAATTCAATCTACATACAATAACATAATTGCAACTAAAAACTAAAATTAAAACAAGCAAAATATAACGAAAAATAATAAATTCAATAGGCCTATTGTTCATGCGCTTGCGCATCTCCGACCGAAACGGGAAACCGGTTCTCCAACAAAACGCGGGCGACACAATCGATATACTACCGCAGCGACAGGACAGGATATTATCGTCATTTAAATTATCTTCATACACATTATTGTCTACTTGATGGTGAATTTTGATTAACTTGCCTATTATCTACAAATATAGTTTGTATTTATTCCCCGTGTTGGATAAGTGTTGAAAGACTTATATTCGCTTTTGTTGTACTTTTAGTACATATTTGAAATGCATTGTCATTAAAGGTCACCTTCACCAATTAAAAAAATTATGACCATTTATTTATTTAATTAATCAGCATAGATTGTGTGTGATTCGCTTTATTGCTGAATTCTATACTTGTTTAATTAGTTATTTTTTTCTCTATTTGTTTTCTTATATGATTGTGAGATGCCTTTTGCTTTAAGTATAGCAATTGGTTATTGGTAGTTCGTCAGATCCCGTCTACATTATTATATATATACGTTGATTATAAACATATTGCAAATAAATGGATCTCACGAAATAGTATTTTTTTATAGTTAACTATCTACCTATGGTTTTATTAATAAGTGAAATAATTTTTTTGTTAAAGTTGTATTGTTTGTCTGCCTCATCATTGATATCTATTTATGTTAGTCTTTCACCTGCACTAAAAACTCCATCTCTCACCGCTTGCAGTTTCATGATATTGCCGTCAAACTGTGAAACTGAACAGTGTTGAAATGTCTGGTTTTGCACTATTACAATGACCTACCGTCTGGCACAATATATAGAAGAGGGGTCTTTACTTGCTACGTCAGTCGTATTTAGATTGCCAGGACCAGTGACCGGAGACATGCAATGTGCGAAATCGTATGGATTGCCAGGACAGTGGTGACCAAAAATCTGTTACGAGACGGTTGTCTAATGTCACGGACCCACACCCTAACTTGTATTTAATTTTATAAAATTATAAATATTAACATGGTTTATCAAAAGTCAAAATAATCTTTATTCAAATAGACTTCTTAAAAGTCCTTTGAAACGTCTAACATTTTTTTCCCTACCGCTCGTTCAGGACTCTAATAGGACCTAAGTAACATTAGGCGTTAACATAAGAGTTAGAACAGATCTACAAAAGAGCTAAACAGATCCTGTGGTGTTCAAAAAGTGCTATCACATGGAGTTATAGGGAGCTATAACTCTATTGTACCCTTGGATTGGGCGCAAATTCTTATGACCTTAGGTTCCACTATGGCGATGTTGTAGAGTTACAGAATGCATTTAAGAGATATAGCATAATTATTGTGGAGGTAAATAAGCGCTAATTGAGTGCTAAAGTGTTGTAAAAGAAGTATTTAAGTGTCTAGTGACTCTTCAAGCGTTATAATAGAGCTATAGGCTACCTTCATACCTTTGAGTGCTACACAGGAAGCAAATGTATCCGTAAGGTTTATAGTAGATTTAAGATGCATCTTACTAACTCTTTAAGCGGTAATAGAGTGGCAATAAGGTAAATTGTAACACCTTGAGTTGCAGTACAAATCTACAATAGGAAATTTTAACGTTTAAAGACATAGTTTTTTACTTTTTTTCCTAGACTGTTTAACATTACGTTTTGCCTTAATGTAAATTTTCACTACACCTAATCTCCACACTAATGGTCTTTACGAAAAAAATGGCAGAGTTAAATGGTGAAATCTTAACTTGTTAATGGAAAACTGAAGCGGAATTTTCATTGCGAAAGTAACTTTACTGTGAATGTCGCTACATATTAAAAGCAAATAATTAAGGGGCCCAGCCTTAGTTGTGTATTTATGTAAAAAAAATGTTTCACTTCAAGTAAAGCAAAACTTTTTTTTTAAATGTTTTAAAACTTTGTCTATTGATTTAAAAATGTCATAAACCTGAACGCTAGAAAGAGAAATAACTTCATTGTCATAAGTTTTTCAACATTTAAAGTACTTTTTAGTCGAGCTAGGTTGCGACGCCATTTTATCGTTTTAAATAAGCGAACACGTGACCCAATAGAGTTATTAAAGTGGTAATAAACTCAAAAATGCAACTTAAGGTAATATAGAAACTATAGTTGACACTATGGCATCTATTTATAGGGGGAAATACCTCTTATATACATCCCTAAGTTATACACAGGAGTTGTGTATCCCATTAGGAGCTTGGTTTAATAAAAGAGTTAAGAAACTCATTTATAGAGCTAGTAGCGTTAATAGGCATGATGACAAATTTTGAAAAACTGGTTTATCAGGTTCAGAAATAAATATTATATACAATGTATATCAAATTTCTGCTGAAAATGAGGAATTAATATGAAATAAAATACATTTTACTTTAAATTTTTTTCATTTCCGCCAAAACGCTTCAATCTGTCATGGCGTCGCTTGTGACGTCACGTTCGATGTAAACATTGACGGCTAGTACGGCTACAGTATAAATTTTGCATTGTTTGTGTTTTAAAAGTTCTAAAATATGAGTTCGAGACCATACAGGTGTTGTGCAGTGCCTCTGTGTACTAATACAACTATAAAAAGCCCGGACAAGTTATTTATATTCGTTCCCTATGATAAAACAATACGAAATAAGTGGCTTAAACTTGCAAGACGTGATATAAAAGGAATATTGCCTAAAACTCAGCTTTATTTCTGTGAAGATCACTTTGACGTAAGTATTTACTTATATTTGTAGATTCCACATAGTTTCCAAACCATTATAAATATAACTGTTCAATATTTAAACTTTGAGGTTTTCATGTTTTTTTCTATGTTTTATCACAGAATACTTAAGTTTTATTTAAATTTCAGTTACCGAATGATATGGAAAACTATATGCAGTATCACTTGATGGGATCAGTGTCACAGATACGCTTAAAAGCAGGCTGCATTCCTTCAAAATTTGCTTGTCAACCAGACAGAAGAAAAAGAACAGCTGATCCAATAGAACGGCAATATATTGTCAAAAAACAAAGGAAGGAGTTGATTGAAGAATTGCAGAAAGAAATAGAAAACAGGACAGATAGAGAGTCTTCATCGGAAAGTTCAGGTGTCAACTTATTTTTAATAATTTTGTTTGAATCACACATTGACTCAGTGTTCATTATTATTATACAAAGAAATGGCATATTATACCCATGTCATGTCTTAACTCTTACCCCCATATTCTTAGTTGTTTCCTCAAGACAGTAATTCATAAAAAATACAAATATTAAAGACCGAGAATGAGTCAAGTATAAAATTTCTTCAGGAAACGACTTAGATTATGGAGGTTATAATAATTATATCTTATTTACTATATCTTATTGGTTCTTCATGAATGTCAAATCCATGCACATACAAAAAGGTTTTTCACACATATACCTGATCAAAAAAAATGTCAGTGAATTGTTGTTATTCTATAAGTTTTTAAAAAATATTTCTTATTTTCAGTTTTGCAAGAAAATGTTCCACAACATGAAGTCTCCCATCTGAGCGTTTTGCCGGCTGCTTCCACAGCAGCCCCGCTCTGGACCCCAGGATCCAATGCAATGACTACACAAGATGCACCTATGAAGGCAAATAAATGCATTCAAGTACACATGATAAAGAAATTCAGAAGTAAAGCAGTGCAAACAAATATTAATTTAGTAAATCAAGTTACATCGCCATTGAAACCTTTTAGCCATTCTGTTTCTACATCACCATTTAAAGTAATGAGTTGCAATACTACTAAGCCATCACCATCCACCTCATCTACTGTACAGAATCCTTATAGGAAATTATATGTTACTCAGGAAGAATCTGACAGTGATATTTCAAATACACTATCGGTGATGCATATACAGTCGTCACCATCAATAACATCCCGCCAAATAAAATCCAGTTCGGACAGCAGCGACTTAATAAAAGAAGATAAAAAACAAGAGGCATCGAAGACATTGGAATATACATTGCTGAAAATAGTGAAAAATCCACGCTTTTACATTGGAGTTCCTAAAAACTGTTATTTCCTAATAGAATTAATCGAAGAAAAAACAAATATTTCTGCAGACCATATATTAATGTGTTTGAAGAAAATCAGATTAAATAATCCTTTTAGAGAGCTTGCTGATGATTTTGGCATAAATACAACTTACGCTAGCAAGATATTTCAAAAAAATATACCGCGTATAGCTAGTGTCATGCGACCTTTTATTGTGAACTTGGATAAAGATTCCATAAGAAAAAATTTACCTATGGCCTTTAGGCGTAAATATCACAAAGTAAGTTGCATAATAGACTGCCTAGAAATTGAGGTGCAAAAGCCCTCAAATGCTTTGAATCAATCACTCTCATGGTCAGAGTACAAAAAGGGAACACCATCAAGTACCTTGTATCGTGTACACCAAATGGTTTGGTTAATTATATATCACCAGGTTTTGGAGGGAGAATTACAGATACAACTTTGGTAGAAACATGTGATTTTGTTAAAAGTTTGAAACCAGGTATGAGTGTCATGGCTGACAGAGGTTTCAAACATGTGGAACAATATTTAAGGAAACATGGAGTGCATCTCGTACGACCTCCAAGTGTTCAAACTGGGGTAAAACTATCAAAACAGGAGGCGAGAGAAACTAAACAAATCGCTAGTTTAAGAATACATGTAGAAAGATTGATTAGACGATTACGGGAATTTAGTTTGTTAAAGGCACATGTTTGTATAAACCTCAATCTTGTGAAAGTACTTGATGATATTATCACTATTGCCTGCGGATTAGTTAACTTACAAGATTCATTGATTAAATAAATCTTAATTATGTACTTTTTATAGGGATATCTTTAAGACTGTTAAATAAAATTCAAATTTATAATATTGTTTTTTATTATTAATCCAAAAATTATAAAATACTTTGATGTAGTATTGGATAAATATTATCTTTCCATAAAGGAACTATAACATTAATAAAATCTGATACATATTTTTCATCATATTGAATGTCCAATATTTGTACTTTCTTATTAGTACTGTAGTTGCAATCAGCTACACAAAAATAGCCTTTTTTAAGCCCTGTTAATAGCATTTGTAATTGCATCTGCACATAAAACTTCTGGCTTGGTTTCCCATCACATATATAATTTTTAAAGGTTTTTTCACTCATAGGGCACTTTATTTCTATAATGCTGTTTTCGCAGATCCCATCTGGTGAACCTGCTAGCATAGGGTAGTTTTTGGCTATCATTAAACCACATTTTTTAATTCTTTTTCCTAATTTGGCACTGACTGTATTTCTAACGTCATCCTCCAATATTCTACCACGCTTCATGGCCGTTGTGTCTGGAATTTTTCCACCCAATATTACAGCAATCAGAGTACCATCACTGGTTTTGCACCGACTGAATTCGTACGCCCGTGAAGCTGTTATTCTTCCATATCTTAATTCATGCCATAAGCTGCTTTTATGTTGGTCTCTCGTTTCTTTTTCAATATTGCTGATATCACTATCAGTTAACACAACTCTGCTCAAAAATGTGTCACAGGATGTTTCTTTATATTTCTGCACTAATTTGTCCATAGAAAAACCTTCTGGTCCAGCAAAAACATAATCTTTTTGATATTTGATTATCTCACAATTGGTAAGTTTCCTTTTCTTACCTTCTGCTAAAAACTTTTCGAATACTCCTGTATTTGATGATAAGCTAGGCTTACCCTTGGATAAGTCTTTGGCAGTTATGTATTTAACAGTAGTACCAACCCTGGAAAGCTTTGATTTTATCCAATAGCATTCGATGGATGTACATGAAGGGTCTTCACTCCTGCGGTGAACCCACATTAGGAATGCTATTGCATGTTTACATCCTCCTTGCGAAGCCACACAATCATGACATTCAATTAATTTTACTGCCTCTTCCTGTTCATCAATCACTAAAGTCACTCCATACAATTTTGCATGTACTTTATGTTCTGGGCAGATTTTGCCTTTTACTATGCACAGATTTCCTTCCCGTTTAACCTGGACGTAACTTATAGCATCGTCGCCATTGATGCTCTGGAGGACCTAAAATAAAGAAAACCATGTTACAACTCAGATTACAACTATGTATTTGGTAGGTAAATATTAAAAGAATAATTGCAATATAACCTCCAAGCGTAATATTAGAAGTGTATATTGAAGGGTATATTGAAAAACAGAAAGTATACATAATATTTTGAAACATTTTGTCTTATGTTTATTCATTTATAAGTGATTTTATTGTATGATTTGTACTTACATGGATGTTTTTACATTCCTAAATTCTGACGAACAAAAGTCTTTATTTGACCCTAGAAACGCTCCTAGAATCAACAAGTCGACTCTTGGCAAATTTGTGCTGGTTGCCTTTGTAAATCCTGATTCCATTCTTGTATTTTCACTTTCTATTTTATTTAATATATTTATGAAAACAAACCAAATTATCCACTTGCTATAGAGGGAAACTAAGAAGAGCTGTCATTGTAGTCGAACGTGACGTAATTCGCTCTGATTGGCGTTCAATATAACATGGCGGATTGTCGTATTTTGTGGTTTTATTTTATTAAAATATTAAATAATCTCACTCATAATTAAAAAATAAATACGTTTTTTGCAATCCATAATTTACATTTCATTACATAGATGCATTACTTTAGTGACTTTTGTTTACTGTCATCATCCCTATTGCTCCCTTTGTGCAACTATCAGACTACAAATGAGTTTATAATAGCTGGCCTAGAACTTGAGGAGAATAGTAAATGATAATTTCTTATATAGACCTTATAGTGGTAAGATTCGCTCAAAGCTATAACACAGAAGCTTTGGTCTGTACTATAGGGATAATAATCACTGCTGTACGCCTTTAGCCTCCATACCATTGCTCTTATAGACTTGCTGTGTCACTATAAGCGTTACATTTTATTACTAACTCTCTTTTGTCACCATAACCTATAATTACAGTTACTAATCAACCTTTATAACATTTGCAGCTGTAATGTTAGTTGGGGAGTAATGACATTTACAAAAACCATGTCATTACTAGATCGAAAACATTGTAAATAAAGAAAAAAAAAAACGATGGTCTTATAATGATAACATAATCATTTAATGGAATGGAAGCAATATAATTTTTGATATATAATGAGTTTAGCAGTAATCACCTATCCAGTTGCTCGATCATCTCAAGTCCAAGCATTCTTATCTGTTATATAATCGGATACCTTATAATTTACCATTCATTTCAAATGGCACAATAACAGATATCAGACAAAAAAATACATTAAATATAAAAATAAACTTAAATCTAAGGGCATGCCTGCGCCCAATTATAATTGTGCTCAACATTTGTACCGTCGACAACAATGTAAATATGTAAAGATTTCATATTGAACTATGTATCTAAGTAACCTGCTTACAAACGATAAAAATAACCAGATGTTACAATGACCATAAACAGTTGAGGTAAAATAAAAAATAAATAAATCAGAAAAATCATGCACATCACAAAATTATAATGTTAACTAAACATATTTATTTGTTGGGTAACAATAATAACATTAATACTTTTTTAAAAGAAAGGTGGCTATAATTGAAAATATCACAATCCGAACAAATATCATTGTAATAAGCACACATTCTAAGTAGAGGATTATTTTTCGATACATTATTAGTGGTAGAGGATACATAGAATAATTGAGGCTTACGCACAGACCGAGTCGGCACCTTGAACTGCAATGACTCCAACAAACCACCATCACAAGATCCGTTGGCAATCCGATGAAGGGTACGCAGATCTCTGGTCCACCTACGTTTTTCCAGGGTAATCATATTAAAATAACAAAGGTGTTTTGAATAATCCGGTATTTTCTTACGTAAACCAACCTTAGCGCACAAAACTGTAACAAATTTACGCTGGACAGCCTCAATCCTATCGGTGTGAGTGTTATAAATAGGGGACCATACTGGAGAGCAATACTCCAATATGCTTCTAACCATGGCGTTATACAGAATCAGCCACGACTTAACATTCTTAAATGGTCTACCATTTCGGAGCACAAAACCAAGCATTCGATTCGCCTTATTGCAAATATAATCGTAATGTGTTCGAAACGAAAGCGACGAGTCGACATATACCCCCAAATCACGGACTGCAGTGACACGCGCAAGAATAATGTTGTTTATACTGTACTTGTAACATTTGGGATTTTTCTTTTTTGTAAAAGAATTAACCTGGCACTTATCAACATTCAGTGATATTCGATTTAGGTGACACCATTTTGACACCCTATTTAGGCTCCCCTGCAAGACTTCGCAATCACGGTAACTGATGATTCGTTTAAAAATCTTAATATAATCGGCAAAAGCAAGACAGTCTACCTCAATGGTATCAAGAAGGTCGTTAATGAATATCAAAAAGAGCAGTGGTCCCAGATTTGATCCCTGCGGTACTCCTGGATCTGGAATGAATGGTAAAGACTCATAACCACCCAATGCTACCAACTGAGAACGATTCGCGACATATGATATCAGCCAGCGCAACAAACTTCCATGGATACCCAATTGAAATACCTTAGCTAAAAGTATCGAGTGGCTAACGCGTACAAAGGCCTTTGCAAAGTCTGTATATATGGTGTCTACTTGTGCGCCGTTATTAAACGATTCGCACCTAAAAGTAGTATAGCTCAGTAAATTCGATTCGGTTGATCTGCCTTCAATAAAACCATGCTGTTTATGACTAAGGATAGGCTTAATGTGGTTATATAATGTTTGATAAATAATAGATTAAAAATTTTTTGCGAACCAATTTAATATACTAATAGAACGATAATTAGTTACATCTCTTTTATATTCCGATTTGTAAATTGGTGTAATTTTAGCATTTTTCCATAAAGATGGAAATATATTTTCGGCTAATGATTTATTATATACTCGTGTTAATGGTTCGACTAACGCAGAAGCACAGAGATGAATAAATAAGGGTGGAATACCATCGGGTCCTACCCTCTTCGATATATCGACACTCTTCAACTTAGCCAAAACCGTATCCCTTGGAACATGAACATGACCTAAATTAAAACTGTTAGTGGAAGTTGGCAGATTGGAAGTTAATTCAGTTTTATCTTTTACATAAACTGATGAGAAGAATTCCGCAAATAGGTTAATAATAAATCCAAAAAGACTTAATATTACTATTTTTTTTCTTTATTATATATTTTAGCGATAATATCTGATAATATTTTAGCGCGTTATCTTAACATTGAAAAGGCGTCAAGGTCCCTAGGATTTCTATAACGTTTATGATACTTTGGTTTTAATCGTTAAGTCCTCGCTAAGCCCGCGGAGAACCAAAAAGGATAGTTAGAGTGTCGGACTTTCCTTTTTGGAGTATATTCATTGATTATTGCATACAGCCTACCATAAAAGAAATGAACCGAGTCATTACAATCAAGGGTGTTTGTATAATATTCCCAATCTATTTCCTCAAGTTTATTTATGCAACTTTCGTAGTCTGTTTTATAAAACACAGCCTTGCAATGCGGTTGTTCTGACGTAGCGGAGTCATTCGTCCAATGAATTCAAGCTCAAATGCAGGATGGTACGGGTCAAGACGACTTATAGGAATCGTTGGTTGTAGCAAAAACAACTCAGAATTAGTAATAATGACTATGTCTAAAATTTTATTATTATGGTTGTTTATGTAATTCATTTGAGATAAATCATTAGAATGAAACAGATCACAGATAGCCCCCATATTTCTTACAATAACCGCTCATAGGTGATCTTCTTTCATTCGACCATTTAAGGTCTCCTAAATTAAAATCTCCAATAATACATGTGACTTGAGTAGGATATGAAGTGAACATATTGTTACATTTATCATTGAAACGTACAAACTCACTGACAGGCATATAGTCCGGTAAATACACAGTACAGAGGTTGATTATGGTATTTTTATTTATTGTAATCTGCACCCAGAGATCCTCAACAAGATCAGCCTTTTGGATATGGCAATTTACACTCCACCACCATGATGTTAATTAAATCTTTTTAAAAATGTAGCCTCAGGGTCCCTGCGCACCACCACATATCTATCATCGAACAATTCAGACGAAAGTATAAACTCATCCAACCACGTTTCACAAATACATCATCATCATCATCAGCCGTAAGACGCCCACTGCTGAGCATAGGCCTCCCCCATAGATTTCCACGACGATTGGTCTTGTGCAGCCCACATCCAACGGCTTCCCGCAACCTTTATAAGATCGTTGGTCCACCTGGTGGGGGGTCTACCCACTGAGCGCCGTCCGGTACGTGGTCGCCATTCCAGAACTCTTCAGCCCCAACGGCCATCAGCTCTTCGCGCTATGTGTCCCGGCCACTGCCACTTAAGCTGAGCAATTCTTTGAGAAATGTCAGTAACGTTAGTTCTCCTACGGATTTTCTGATTGTGAATTCGATCACGTAGAGAGATACCAAGCATTGCTCTCTCCATTGCCCGCTGGGTGACCTTGAGCCTTCTTATGACATACAATATCATAATTATTACACAAAATTGTGTTATATATCTCCAAAGTTTCACTCTTCATTCCTCTTATGTTTTGATAATAGATATTAAAAGCCATTAATAAAATTTAAATTGATTCAAACAAAATAAAGTAACGACGGAACCATAAAAATAACAATCAACGGATTAGATCCAAACTGTCGATATTCTTTATATGAACATGCGGAGAGTCAGAAGCCTTTCTGACATATATTTGGCCATTGCGGATCCAAATAAATTCATACTTGAACTCCTTGACCTTCCTCCTTGCGGCTGCATATAGATATTTGTTAGTCGGAGAAAGATGTACAGATACATACACCGATTTAACATCACCCCCTATCCAAGCAAAGCAGTGTTGAGTTTCGCAGTAGGATTTGCATTGTTGTATCTATAAATTGACGAATAGAATTCATCTCAGCACATAACATTCCGGAACTTTACTATAATTGCACGAGGATATTTGATTTCCTTATTCTGCTTCGCAACTCTGACACAATTAACGATTTCATCTTTTTTCACTTTAGAGCCAACCAAAGAAGAGCATTGTTCCATAAGCCTCAACAAATTTTCATTGTGATGCTCCGGAATGCCACGAAACTCCAAATTTTTTTCGCGTAAATGCAATTCAGTGTTATTTAATCGTTCGGAAAGTTCCTTTATATTAGTTTCCAATCTAGTAGTTAACTTCTTATAACATTCATTTTCACTTTTTAACTTAATAATCTCATCTTTCATCTCCTCATATTTTTTGTTAAAAAAGTCGAGAGATATGTGCAACTCCTGGAGCTCCTTGTGAATAGGTGAAAGTTCATGCTGCAACGCGGCCATTATTGTCGTAGGGATCTCGGTTTTTATCGACATTAGAATTCTTTCGCTGATAATATTAACAAAGCCTTCATCGTAGTTGGATATTGGGTATACCTCTTCACTACTTCAGGATGGTGACACAGCAGAACGTTACGAATTAGATCTACGTACAGTTACATTATCACTACTCATATTGACATCTTGTGTCAATATGAGTAGTGACTCAGACTACGTTCGAACCGGTGTATTGATATTACTTGATTTTGGTTGTTTACTCTTACATTCAAAACAAATCCAATGATCCTTATGCTCCCTTGTCATAGTGTTTCTAAAGCGTTATACTGATATATTAGCACAGTCGAGGTCATAGTTTTTTGAACATTCGCAACATTTTAAATATATTAAATATTTTCTACGACAACCAGCACACACAAATTGCAAAGGCGCCATTTTAATATTTTTACTCTCTGAGAAAATTAGAACACTGGACAGAACGATGATGCTTCTGTAATAAGATTTTTTTTAATAGTAGATTAAAACTCCTTTTTTAATAAGTATTTTTAATAGTAGATTAAAACTGCATGATATCTACTTATTGTATTTTGCTTGGGACCTTATTGTAGAAGCGCACACAAAGACCCCTGAATGAGTTATTAACTTTTTGCAGTCTAGTGACAGGCACCGTTAATTTATTTTATTTTATCATTAAATATGGTATCGTATCTGATCTAGTCTGTTTATTAGGCTTAACCGCTACAGTGTTTTGGAAAGCACTTTAATATGTACCAATCTGTATGGGGCCAACGTGGTGAATGGCTATTTTCCAAATTTTATTCGATTCTGTTCTATCTGTAGGGAAAGCCTGAACACCAGCAGCGGGGACTTTAAAAGCTGTGTTTAAAAGGCCAATAAAACTTCTTTCTTAAACTTATTATTAAATATGGAATTTAATCAGATCGATCTTTTTCAGATCGATCGATAATTTTACTAAAAATTCATAAACTTATTCCACGCATTTGAATTTGGAAAATTTACAAATTTCTTAAACTTATTATGGAATTGAATCAATATGTCATAGAATTTTACCAATAAATCATATCCCTAATCCACGTATTTGAATTTGATTATGAATGAGATCGGAATACTAATGACAGACTTGGGTCTGGGTAAAAATAATGGCTTTGCGATTTTTATTCAATGTTTCCTACCGCTCGTTTTTGTAGTGTGATATTGATCAAAAAATTTATTACCAAAGAAATTACGATCAATATCCGGTGAGAGCACTCGTTCTGTGAAAACTTACGAAGAGCGTAATGAAGAAAATCTTCCGTAAATTTATGACATTTACAGCCCCAAAATGTGAATACTTATGAATTTTTATTGTACATGGTAAAGTTGGCATTAAACGAGGAAAAAGAATATTAATAATTATAGGTATATATAAGTATACACAGTTACACGTGAGGTTGATTTTGAATTTTACCCTTCTAATATTAAAGTTTCAAATCAAGTGGAGAATTTTTACACTTTTATATAATCTGACGTGCTGTTGACTGTACATTCTGTTGTCAATAGACGATATTTTTTATTATTAACGATTTAATATATATATACATGTTCATGTTCGTTTAACTACATGTATATAGACAAAAAAAAAAAAGATTTTTCGTCACCGTCTTTAATGATCATTTTGATTTCTTTCATCAAATTTATTTTAATATCGCATAAAAGAAAGATTCGATAGTATCCTTGTATGTTTGTTTGCATCGAATAGGCTCCGAAACTGCTGGACTGTTTAATAATTCTTTCACATATTAGTAGCTACACAATATGGGGTTAACATAGGATATAATTTACGCCTGCGAAATCGCGGAAAAACAGATAATTAGTATTATAGAAAATCACTGACTTGGGTCTGGGTAAAAACGTCAACAAATATATTTAAAATAGATAACCATACTTAAAATTACAAACAGTTCATTTATCCGAATCACTTTCAGGCAGTACATAATGTTCAAAATAAAAATACGTATATAAGTTATTTGTCATTCAGAATATTTATATTTATATATAGAATTTGCTTTCACATAAATTTAATTATTTTCTTTTTCATCTGTATACATCCATCGAGCATTCAAAATTTAATTATCTATGAGACTCTACCATAAAAATCACCATTTTTAATTAAATTACCATACTATAACGATCGTGCGTAAGGCTATTATAAGATCATAATAGATACAAATGACATGCCCTGATTGAAAAAAGAAAATCAAAGTAAATAGCACTTCAAAGGTTTCTTTAATTAACAAGATATTTGTTTGTGATATAAAAGATTAAGGAAATCATAATAAGACGGAACAAATTACGCATTCAAAATATATTTCAGTCCTCTAAGAAGCTTATGTGCGGTACAATGACTGTCTCAAGACATTATAAATATTTTCTACGCAAAATACTTGGATTTGGATGTTCGGTATGAAAACGAAACTGGATAACATAGGATTATCCTGATGCCTTTAATGCTGTATTTCACTCACTCAGACATCTGAAAAGATTATATTTTACACCTGTTTGTTGATTTATGCTACAAAATATTATGTTTTCCCATATTCTCCAGCACGTGTGTACTTGATAAAACTTTTCATGTCACCGTTCGTTGTTCACACGCTTTATTCTTATTGTTTGTTTCTTGAGCTCGATTATCTGATAATTCCGGGATTGTATTATGTTGTAAAGAAATATTAGCTAAACTAATATTATAAAGAGGAAAGAGGTGATTGTTTCTTTGCTTAATGAGCTAAGAAACTGCTGGACCATTTTTAAAAACTCTTTCGCATACGGGAAGTTACGTCATACACGGGTGATATAGGATACAATTTACTCGGGTTAAGTCATGGAAACCAGTCTTCTGAAACACTGAATCTATCATAACTGTCAGACCTGAGGCATGAGACATTTTCATCTGCTCATTCATATTAATTTTAAAAGCTTTATTGAATAGACTGTATATTTACACTTCTATACTAAATATCAATATAAGGAAAAATTTATTGTTTAGTTGATTGTTTGCAATGAATATGAATTGAATATATTCGGTGAATATAGGCATTATTTTATCCCGAAAAACATCAAATAAAGTGATGAAAATGAAATGAAATATAACCACAGGAACTATTCTCTACTATTCAATTTATTATTCTAGTTATATCCGTGTCATTATATGAATCGGTATTTAAATAAACAGCGGGACAGACCACACGAGCTAAGCTGCTGGCGGAAAGTTAGTATTTTATAAATAAATATAATATTAGCTATACTAATATTATTAAGAAGAAAATGTGATTGTTTCTTAACTGAATAGGCTGCTAGACCGCTTTTAAAAATTATTTCATCTACGAGAAGCTACGTCATACGTGGATGACACGAGTCGTAATTTACTCGGGTGAAATCACGGGGGCATATTCTTCTGAAACAACGAATTTATTACAAAACAACACCCAGACCTGAATCATGAGACATTTTGATCAGCGTACTTATCTATATTAATTTTAAAAGCTTTATTGAAAACCATTATATTCATATTTTAAATCATGGAAAGAAGAAGTAAAAGTTAAATTAATTTTTATCTAAATAATAATAAATTGTCATGTCAGATGTCTGAAAGGAACTGACCGAAATTTCAACTTAAATAAAACTGAAGTTATCGAAAAAATTGATATAATGAAACGATTATTTTCTTGACGGCCTGATCCTATTAACGCCGGTAAAGCTATAACAGAAATAAATCATTCAACCCTTAAAATATAATCTGGGGTATCTTCGAACGATTCAGACATGGCCGTAAGAAAAGCGTTTCTGATAATAACTATGCTAAATGAATACGAAGCTTTCTTGAGCATTATTTATAACAACTTGATTTTTAGTAAGAAATCATTGATAGCAGAATTAGGACGCAACCCTCACACCATCACACTCAGAAGCTTTTAAATATTTCTCAAATTCAAATGATGAAAAAATATAATTGAAGGTTGATCTTCATCTACTATAACTGTGACAGGTGTATTCAAAGGAAATCAAACTTTTTTATTTGTTCTGATTTATGCAATGATTATTGTGTGTCTATGGAGAAATTAATCCCTGTCTATTTTCGTTTCCATTGAATTTATAATATTAAACACTAGGTAACCTTTTGGATAGAAAAGTATTATCATCATTATGTTTATTCAGACTTTGTTAGAATACTATTAATGTTAATTCAATAGTTTTCATGTGAATTGGCTATAAAAATTAGCTGAATTTGTCTATTGATCGCAAAATGGAAAACACTTACCTTCCCGAAACATTATCCAAATTATTTGACTTTCGTTAAGATTCGCCGAAGCCGCTATATTTAAAACCGCAAACTCAGTTCTGACGTGGTAATATTTTAAAATTTCAAACAAAGCTCCGCAGATTTACGGTGGGATTGTGTAAATTGGAAAGTTTGGGAAGACATATTGCATTCGCCTTCGAATTAATGCTGTCTCCTTGGGCTTTAAGACTTGCGAATCTCATAAAAAAAATAAAAAAAACTGGATGTAAAAATATTTATTCTAAATAGCTCTGGATTTTTTAATTAAAGTAATAACGCTCTCCTAGACTGATAATAAAATTATATTCATTTCATGAAAATGTTTTGTAACGTTTAAATTAAGTTTTATTATGCTTTTGATAGAAAACTCTACTGTTATTACACAGAAACTTATAAAAGACATTAGTAAAAAATATACGTTATTGAAATTATTTATCGTTTAATACCTGATATAAATGTTCAAATTGGAAAATGTGCTTTATTTTGTGATGTATTATAAGCTACCAAAAATGTTTAATCATGTCTTCTATTAATCTAACCAAAAACAGTTTCCCGTAACTTACAATGTCTATATTCTTTGTTCAAAGGCTAATAATAATAAATCTTTGAACTGTTTTGCTAGCGCTTGCCAATGACACACTTATAGCAAAACTGAATTTGTAAACTG